CACCGCGGTTGATGCAAGCCCCTCACAAATAGCGGTCTCACCACACATCTTGATCCAGACTTGCCCTCACCCAAGCTGGTACCGTGTTTGGGTTTTGGGTGTGCCCCTAACTCTTTTGTTGACCGCCCTTGGCGTGGCTGCCTGCGTTAACCTTTGCAAGCGAGGCGAGGTTGGTACCCTCAGCACTATGCTTGTCCTCAAACTTTGTTTCATCCACTAAGTCAGAATAATCATCAATCTCAGTTTGATTCCCTTCGGAATAAGCCATCATCAATCAACTACCTTTCTTTTTCCACTCCTGTGGACTCTTATTYTACTCCCRTCCKTGGAGGGTTGTTRRGCTCCTCGWAGCCTAGCCTYWAAGTCTAGAGCCTTCTTGCTAAAGGAGTCTAGAGTGTGATATTCGATGCTGGCCTCGCTGACCAGCAAGTTCTTGACGCCTATGGGAAGACATCTCAAGGACATGGTTATTAAGACCTGTGGATCATAGCGTACACCTGGCACGACAATGGGACGCTCCACAGTAGGGGTAAGCTCAGACGCGGACTTGTACTTCTTACTATCAAGTCGGGTCAACGCGTCAATGGCCTGCTGGACCTGCTGAGGGTTGTGTCATCGTGTTTCTACCAACTCCATAAAGCTCTCTAAAGTATGGGTCTTAGCCCAATCGTTCATACGCTTGTTGAACCCTTTCGAGGCTACTAATCCATCTAACCATCGTGTTGTCGATCTCTCAAGATACGAGGCGAAAATGATCACCTCTTCCTCTAACAACGTCCTCTTTGCCCTTACTCATACTCGAACTGATCTCAACCAAGTGTCAAGAGCGCCATCCTTCTTATCACCGGAGAAGGTTAAGGGTGGTCTAAGAGGAGTCTTGGGGTACCAAGGCTGCTGTTTTCCCACTGGTGGGACCGATTGTTGTGTAGCACCAGCCGCTGGACCAGAAGATGAAGAAACAATAGTATGTGCTACTGCTGTTGAAGTACCGCTTGGTGAACTCAGTCTGATAAACTGAGACATAGTGAGACCTGTGATGACCGATGAGGAAACTGGTGATGGAAAAACTGGAAGCCGGGAACTGGGCCCACCTATTGGAGATGGAAAAAACATTTCAATCCCCTGCATGATACTCAGTACTTGGTCAAGGGTATCCTGGATAGCGTCCAGTTTGTTATCCATGTACGCATGCATGAAGAGGAGACCTGCCTTGAGAATTCTCGTATTATCATCAATGACAACGTCATCTAACCCTTCTACAGCAACTTTAATTGCCCTCCTATTCTCTAGTCTAACTTTCCTAGTTATAATCTCCGTTTCTCTTTTAGTAGCTTCTCTAAGTTCCTTTTCTGGCCGTAAGTGGATCGACTCCACTTGCTGGAGTTCAATGGCCTCTCTAGTGCGTGGAGGTGGCAAGCTGTACTGCAAGCCCACCATCTGACTAAAACTAGATCCTATTTTAATGGGCAAGGGCTGCGAACTGGCTGACATTCCTAAGGACTGCCCACCTGAAAAGGTCGCTGCAGATGTAGTCATTGCTACTACGTTAGCTAACGCCTCTTCTGCAGCTGGTGTTGCTTCCCTAGTAGTCTCTAGATGCCGGACCCTTGCTTCGTCCCTGAACCTTCTCTCGTCATTAGGTAGCAGGACCTGAAACACTACAGGAATTTTACGTGTATCCCGCCGTGTTTATATTCTATCATCAGTTGTGCCTGCACCACTATTTGATTCGCTCATCAGCTAGGCAGACACTGTCTGCACTAATGCCCTATCACAACATGTGTCTAACCGAGTTGAAAAATAAATAAAAATAAAACAATATTCAACAAGTCACTTAGGCTACTGTTAAAGCGGTATCAACAACATCTATACAAATTGTACACATGATCTAATCCTACCTTGATTAGTTTCACTTACAGCAGCTTCGATAAGAACTGGCTATGTTAGAACACTTCAGTACTGATCTAGGTTGTCTGTTAGGTATTAGCAGTCTGTCCACCAACTAATCAAAAATAAAAATAAATCATGTGAGCAGATGTATGCACATTGGGTATGGCTGTGATTTACAGTTGAGCATCAATTAGTACCTTCCTTCCCCTGTATCTAACGTGCCTGTCCACATCATCAACAAGCGGTGTCTAAGGTGTGCATTAACGGCCCACCCCTGTGCCCAGGAATTCACTTATGACCAGCACTGCCCTTTTTTTATCCTCGGCGCATGCAACGAGCCTTACATTTGACTGATTTGGCTGATCAAGAGGTAGTTTAAGGACAGCCCCCAAGGTCCTCAGGAATTATTTAACGTCATAGACAGAATATCGATCACAACCAGTGTCCAGTTCAGGTCCCTGCTAGAAATGTTTAAGGACGGTCTGGTAAGTGTCTGCATAGGACCGGTCAATCCACGATCCCTCTATCAGTACAACAAAGAGCCTTAAAGGACAAAGCAACATGGCATGCGTGTACTACTCTCATGGGTTGGCATGGTGACCGTAACCCGTACTTCGACCAGGGCCCTTCAGAGGCACCGCCCTCTCCTGCCAGATGTGCCACCGGGAAGAATGTCGTCTCTTAAGGTAGAGCACTCACGACTCCTTACTACAGAGATGACACTCAAGGTTGGACTCACTTCCTCACGGTAAGAAGAGATTGAGAGGGAAGATAAGGTAAGGGAACAACGTACTTGGAGATAGCTGGCCCCAACCACAGATTTCTCACCAATTTACCCAATGTGCATTTCGATGACCGGTCGTAGCTTCGGTACCACCCACAATGCAATGTAGTGCCACCTCAGCCAAAATGCCACATCAGCATGCTCTCATCATTACACATACATCCGATGTCGCCACAGCTCCCACGCTGCCGC